TTAATAGATTTTGTTAAGAATATCTTTAATGGGCTCTTTAAAGCTTTCCAAATATAAGTTTGTTTCTTTACAAGAATAAAATAAATAATTTTTTTTAAGAACTAACCTCCCACGTTTACACCTATAAGTTGGGAACTCTGTAATCCTAGTAATAACCATTTAGGTTAAGATCTGTTAGAACTAGAGATGCCAGAAAGTAGTTAACATTGGTAAGTAACAATTAGCCGTAACTTATACTTTTTGGTAAAACATTTCCTGCTAAAATATGTTCATTTTAACTTTGAAGTTTTAACAGGCCGACAGTCCCATTTCAGTTCTCTATATAGTATAGGTCGCAAGAAAAGTCCCGTTACTTTTTTGAGCAGGGAACAAGTGTAACAATACTGCATAAACAAATTAATCCACACAACTAAACGAATAATATGAAAATTTCTAACGATGGTTCCGCACTCTTCTACTGTAATTTCGGTCTGAAGCATGTTTCAACGTGGCTTTCAGTTGCTCCTCAACAGGACTGGGCTCTGGCTCGTTCAGCCGGTTTCCTGGCTTTTGGGACAAGGACGTTTGGCCGGCAGGAAGAAGATACGCTACAGTGGAGCAACTGAAGCGGCAATAACATGTACCTGGTACAAAATTACAATAGAAGAGTGTGCGAGCATCGCTGGAAATTTTCAAGAACGGTTGCGTAAATATATTGAGACCAAAAGTGGCAATTTTGTAGATTTGTTGTAAATGTTTTCTTTTAATTTATTGTTACCGAATTAATAAAAATTATCGTTTGTTTATGCAATGAAATTTCTCAAAAAATTGACAAAACTATTTCCGGACCCTGTATTTACTATTTGTCAATTAACCATTATTGTTTTTTTTAACTAGTGTCATGCTTAGATCAGATTCAATATGGAAGTATTTTCAAATGATTTTAGTTAGTTAATTACGATAGCAATGATTTCGTACATTTTTGTCATCTCTACTATGAATTTAAAAAAAAAATTGTCACAAAAGTGAAATTTAATACAAAATGTTTTTAAATGCTTATATTCTCTATCGTTTTGTGTGAAAACTACACAACCATAATATGTTAAGGGACATATTCAATTGCAATGATCAGAAAATCGATTTTTTTTTTTGTATTCATGAACGATAGAAATGTGAAGAGTATATTCTGAAAATTTGAAAGCGAAATTCGAAAATCTTTGGAAGTTACCGCCCATAAACGTTGTGCATGTCCGCTCAATTTCTGGGCACATGCCGCGGGTAAAAGCAAAAGTGCACAGAGACAGGAGGTATACTTGTCGACCAGATGTTTGTAGAATTAACCGTTTTCCGACGAGTTTCGGGAAATAGCCGCCCAAGTTTATTTACAGTTTATAGTTGCCCTTTTACCCTTCTTCCGCAGCAACGCTCGTTTGTTAAACGACTCCTGCAAAGCAAGCAAAGAATAGCAAGGGGATTTACCGTTTTTCTCGAAACTACATTTCTGAAATTGGTGGACACGATTACACAAAAACTATTGAACCGATTGAGTTCTCCCTTGGTAAAAATGCTGATAACATTATTACTTTCTATATGACGTACATCGATTTTGGAAAATTTTGAAAAAAAAATCATTTTTTTATAAATTCTGCAGAAATTTCCCATGAAAATTCAATTTGTCTTTAAATGCATGCCGTTTTTTCAAATTTGCATTTTTTCCCACAGAAAATAAGAAAATTTTTATATTTTGTTGCAGATCAAATTTCAGAGGGAGCTAGACTGTACACCGTTTTGAAAGTCATGCCACAACCTTGCTATGACTCTCTACCACAGCCATTTTGATGATGAATGAGTTCAAAAATATTTTTTTTACACTTGAATATCCTATTAAGTAGGTTTATCTGATTTGGAATTGACGAATAAATATTCGTAAAAAAATTAATATAAGCTTATTAATAAGAAAATCCTCAAAAAAAATTATGACTAGTTTGGATACCTAAGAGACGAGATATTAATAAAATAATTTTTCATGATTTAGTACCGAGTCTTATGAGAATGCAGATTTTTTTGGTCTTTCCACTTAGAATTTGCAGCAATTGACGAATAGTTTCCACAGCAACTTGTATAAATAGGAAACCGATATCTAAGGAACCCTATGACAGCTCGTAGAAATCGATTAGGTACTTGTAAGATACATAATTTATAATAATTCTCCTTCAAACTGCTTCCGTTGGCTAACTTATCCTCCATATGCTTGATAGCGGTAACGCCGCGGTCTCGACGTAGCGTATTATTTGAAATTCGCAGGTGTCCAAACAAACAGAATGATCGAACAGGAGCAAGCGCCAGCCAAGTGCAACGTTGCCAAATCTAAAGGCATACTACTTTAGTCACTAGCGAATCTACAGAAACTTTCGTTAGGCTTTAGACGCACCTCCGTACCCGATAAACCTCCTTAAAGAACACCTACAGTCCGATGAATGTAGAATAGAAAAATTGACTCATTTTCCTCCGTCTAATTGTATATGTCCCCTTAAATCAATAAGAATTTAATTTAATTAAAAAACAATCGTTATTCTCACAAGATTCATTTTTTAAATATTTAGTTATTTTTCATATCCACATTATTATACTGTTTTATTGGTTTATAATTACAACTAAAATGAATTTCAATTAAGTTGAAAGTAATATATACACAGTGAGCGGCAAAAGTAGGAAATATATTTATTTAAAAATCAGATGTTCGTTATTTGAAACATCGCTCGGACCCGTCGAATTATAATTTTTAGCTGCGCATTTTCTGAAGCAATTTTCATTTATACAGGGTGGCAAAAAAAAGTTATGAAATCAAGGCCAAAATTTTTAAATGGAAACCCCACTTTTTTGTATTTCAATTATTATTATTATTCAATTCTCCATGGAATTATGATCATTTTTTATGTAATATAACCAAGGACATTTAAATAAAGGGGACTAGATGAAGCCTGGTCTATTCACAGTCTAATTGTATCATTGTTGTCAGCTGTATAATTATACTGGAAATGTACTTAATATTTTTATCGCAATTTTCATCACAATTGTGAAAATTATTATTATAGGGCAGTATTATTAAGTTATGCATACAATATTGTTAAATTCTGTACATATTAAACTATTTTTCATTTTTCATATTTGCCATGTTTGAAGACTTGGCAACTACTCAATAATTTGTAGCGTGTTCCTCGTTCGTTCTGCCGTGGTTGGCAGAATATGGCGTCTCTTGTTAGAAAATAGTTGTGATTTTAGTAAGTGAAACGTGATTAGTGTTTATACATGTATTTTGGATTAACTTTTAAGGTGTGAATATGGTTAGACAGTGCAGAATTTGTAAGAAATTGGATTATAAACATCCACATCAGCTATCCTTCCACAGGTAAGCATGCTTGAAGGTGACTTTGGAATGTATATGCAACTGTGGCCATTGTCGTGCGTGTGGGTAACTTTTATTTGAATAACGGTAAAATTTTATAAATCTGACTTGGTATTTTTTTAAAATTTTTGCTGAAATAGTAAGAAAACAATAATATGAACCACGTTTGGCCATTAAAATCAAAGGAAAATGCTGCACCACAAATAATAAGTTACATACATTATTTATATTTAATATATTTATAGGTATTTCAATGTTATCCCTTATACCCAACATTACAAATTTTAATCATTCATCATTTTCATTTTCCTCTACGACAAAAACCTTTTCAAAAATATATTTACAATTTTACTAAATGTACGAGCATAAAAACTGAATAAATACAACAGCAAAAATATGGTGGTGGTTCACTTATACATAAAAATACCGAAGATGCAATCAACTGAAAGTTGCATTCATTCAACCATTTGATATTTTCCTTTGGAAATATATTTTTGTCTCACTGAAAATTTGCCTCAGTATTCTAAAAGTGAAATGTGAACGTTTTTAGGATGCTTGGGGATGGTGCAACAAGAAAGAAATGGTTACAGTTATTGGGATTCCAAGAAGTTATAAAAATTTTATATATATTTATTATAAAAATACTGAGTAACTGTTGAAATATATTGACTTAGGACTATAAAATATTTTATTTTGACCCATCCAAAATGTACGGCAATGGAGATGTAATCGCGCACATCAGTTGGATGAAAATAAAGCCCTCTGCTTTCCCCTTGTCTAGCTTCACCCAACATATGAGATAGACTGTGACATGCATAGTCCCCTTTATTTAAATGTCCTTGAATATAACCTATACCTATCTTTAGCCGTTTTCGAGATAATGGCGTCTGAATATAGAAAAAGGAAAATTTTCAAAAATTACCCTGAGATTTACCCTGCTAGTTTTAAAATAAAACCACGTTTACTTTTCCATCTTAGATTTGTGTGGTTCACAGAAATTTGCTTGAAATCAGAAAAATCCATAAGAAATAAGTGGTTTGGTGCTAAAAATTTGCAAAATAACCTGGCTCGTAATTTAAATAGTGACATTTAACAAAATCATATTTTATACAATAAAATTATGCGTTTTTAATTAAATTATACCTAAATACCTCACTTATATTTTTTACATTCAAGTCATTGCGTCCCAATGATCAAAATAAATCACCGAACCACTTATTTCTTATGGATTTTTCTGATTTGAAGCAACTTTCTGCGAACCACACAAATTAAGATGGAAAAGTAAACGTAGTTTTATTTTAAAACCAGTAGAGTAAATCACAGGGTAAATTTTGAAAATTTTCCGTATTCTACATTCAGACAGCATTATCTCGAAAACGGCTAAAGATAGGTATAGGTTATGTTACATAAAAAATGGTCAGAATTCCATGGAGAACTGAATAGAAATACAAAAAAGTGGGGTTTCCGTTTAAAAAAGTTCGTCTTGATTTCATAACTTTTTTTTGGGCCACCCTGTATAAATGAAAATTGCTTCAGAAAATGCGCAACTAAAAATATAATCCGACGGGACCGAGCGATTTTTCAAATAACGAACATTTGATTTTTAAATAAATATATTCCATACTTTTGCGGCTCACTGTATATATATTTTTTAAACATCCTCTTGTCCGGCAATACGTCGCACCATGTATTCTGTCTTAAACTGATACCCAAACTCTTTTCAACTCAATAAAATATCATTTAAGCCACTTTTACCGTACTTACGCATTTTACCTTACCAGGAAATAAATTACGTGTAATTTTATGATTAGTTAGAACTGTTAAATGAAAATTACATCTTTTAAACACCCTACATCTTGAAATTGAATAGATCTAGAGATCGCGTTACTTTCTTACTAGTGTCCGCGAACTTTGAAATATTTTATTCTGAGACATTCTGTTGGGATGGGTTTCCAGTATTATTTATACGAGGAATATTAGAGCATGAGACACGGTTCAACTCGAGAAATTATTATTTCTCAAATATACATATATACATAAATACATGTATATGTATGTATATATATATACACCAGCCTCTCTTCTACATATACACGCATTCTCGCACACATCCCAATCATACATACATAAATATATGTGTTATATATATATTGCATATTCCGTATTTCCTTAATTTGTACTTTTTAAATGTGGAGATTCACTTTTAAATTAAGAAAATCAACTCTTGCGTTGTTTTTATTGGTCCTACTGTTTTCGGAAATTTTGTTATACGTCACATATGCAATGCTATGAATATATTAATTATTTATTTCAGCTCGATAAATTAAAGCAAAATGAGGAAAATTTAATAACGCTGGAGGCCAAAGATGCCATAAAATGAGATGGGCGGTTATAATAGTTCATATTGACGAAGATGCATACGTTGGATGATATCTCGGCAGTCATTAAACACTCTCTTGATATTATCTGTATCCACGGCACAAGTAAAATGAGGATAACAAAAGTGCTTGCCTTCCCCCGAAGCTGTGCTTATGCGCTGAAAAAAAAAAAAAAACATAACATAATGCGTGGGACGGTAGAGCTACTTTTAAGCTCTTGTCTAAATTCGACGGTTTTATTTTTCTTATTTTTGAATTTTTTGAGAAACATTCCTTTTTGATTTCTGTGACACGTTAAAAGAAAAATATCCCCGTTTGTAAAATATGTGGATTAGGGTGGCCCAAAAAAAACAATTATTTTTTTCGTGAAGATTTTTTAAAACTTCCAAAATCGTCAAAAATTGAATTTTTTTTTATTTTTTTTCTCGTTATTTTATCATTTTCTAGGTTGAAAAAAATCTCGATTCCGAAAACTTCAAATCTATATTTTAATTTCTAAGGGTCACTCATAATTATTTTAACTTGAAAAGTAGTGTACCTAAAATGTTTTCGAGTGACCTCTAAAAATAAATATCAACGAACTAATAATTTTTTTTTTTGAATTTGATGAACAAAAGAATAGAAATAAATCACGAGACACTTAAATTTTAAAAAATTAAAAAATATTTGATACTCAAAGTGCGGTAGTAAATTTTGCCTCCAGTCTCGTGATATATTCCTATTATTTTGTTCATCAAATTCAATAAAAAAATT